ACTCCAATTCGGCAGTGCCTCAGTGGCATCAGTGGCATCAATATTCAAAGTCCAAAATTCCTAATAAATCATCCTTGTTAACAATGATGTCACCAAATATTTAAGATCATGAGAGAAAAAAGTGAAAACTATACTGATTGACTACTAAGCAACGTTCAATTACTATTTTCCCCAACATTTGATCTGATTAAAGTATGTTATGGTTAAAAAAACTAAAATTTCAACATGTACATGTAGCCTATCAGCATATTCAGAATAAACAACCACATGTGCATTCATTTCCTACTGGAGATGATTTCCTACTTATTATGCTGCATTTCATTTAATGAGCTCTAAACAATTCTCATTCATGTCCTTAACAATGGCATACCAGAGCACAATGAATTAGAAAACGTAGGCCTCTTCCTCGCTCCAAAAAATGTGTTTTGTTCAGTAGCTTTTCAACAACTGTCTTTTTCCACCATCACACATAATAAACTCAGTTTGGACATGTGCAGATTAAAAAAAAAAGCATGTTCAGTTACAGTGAATACTCCAATTACACCAAAACCTGAATAATACAGCCATTTGCCAGTTTGCCAATTTCAAATATTGGCTTAACTGGGTTATGATTATCTTAATAATGCATTTAAAACAGTGATTACATAATCGGTATGCGGATATCAGAAATGCAGGTGGGTTTTAGTATGGTTTAGTATCATTTATAAGTTGTAAATGCATTTGAGTAGCTAAATATTCCAGCAGAGTCTATTTCTAACTTAGAACTTAGGTTGTCAATAACGCCAGCTGTGGGTAACAAGTTACAAAAAGAGGTACAAGAACTGAAATTACAGTGAATGGCATGAAATGCCACTAACAGACAGGATCTGTGCTATAGCTCAGTCTAACTAGCTGATAGAAATGCACTGCAGAAATGATAGAAATGCACTGCAACATCTCTATTAGACTGCAGACCATGTGCGTGTGGGGGTTTGTATGGCTCAAAGACAAACTGCTTTATATCCACTTTGTATAAGAGGAGCAGATGGCCATATTAGTGCTGCTGGCAAGATGGATCTCGATACCAATGAGAGTGCACTCAGAAGAGCTGACTACAACAATATCATCTTATATCACCAGTTCTGCATGGTTTTCACTGCACCCAGATCAAATTGTGAAGTTTACAGTGGGTCTGTGGTAAGATGGCTCAGCCCGAGTGTAGTTCCACCTCAACAACAGGAAGAGACGCGCAGCGAAGATGCCTTCAATCTCTGAAGCCAACACGCCAGCCTCAAACTCAACAACCTGACTTTAAAAACACAATAAGCTGATGTCCGGGCATTGATGGAGTTCTTCAGAAACGAAAGCGAGGACTAAAATGAACTTATCAGACGATCCGCTTCATACAAAGATCTCTAAAGTGAAAGATCCGCTTTTTCTGGGGCGGGCGTGATGATGGTGGTGCTGGTGCGCCCCTGTGGAAGGGGCGCAGGTGAAGAAGACACTCAAACAAAGGACATTAAATGCACTGATCCATTTCCTCCCCCTCTCTCTCATCCCGTGCCCGCTTTCTTTAAGTCTTACCTGCGTGTGTAATGTCGGACAGGTCATAGTTCTTGGCGGTGCGGGGGAACTCTTTGAGTTTGCGGTTGGAGAGGATGAGCGCTCCGCTGGACGCAGCCTCTTCCAGCGCCTTCTCCACGCTCCTGCTGGCCGCTACGGTCGCCGGCAGCTGCGCTCCATCCCCAGCAGCCATCAAACACTAAATATGACCCAACTCTTACTCTTTACAACGACAATCAGCCCTCCTAAACCTCCATCTCATAACGTTACACCCCAGAAAAGTACGTTTTTGTACTCCAAAAGTGATGTAAAATCCAGTGATTGAGCAAAGTTGCGCGGTGAGTTGTCAGTCCTTGTGCTGCAGCGAGCCGAGAGCAGAAGAGGCGGAGCTTGTCTTGATTGACAGGGCGGACACACCCAATGCGAGCTCGGGAAATGAACACAAAAGCGCTGCTCTCATCTCGAAGGGGAAATGATCAAAGTTTTTTGGACGCTCGGAGATTTTGTAATTCAAACTGTAGGAGCTTCACTGCTGAAAGCGTAGACGTCTTCGCATTGTTTGCATACCGATAGCAGGGCTGACAAGGTTCAACAGTAAGCGGAAGTTTCTAGTGGATGTATCACAAAGCATTTCCCTGTTTCCAGATCCATTAAACGACGTGCACTTAGAGAGAGGACATGAAGGACATAAATATTGCATTAACGTTATAGCATTAGGTTCAGCCTTACTTTGCTTTATGGGTGTGACACCAAACAATCTTCCCAATGACTTTGGTGTCTATTAAGCTAACCATAAAATATTGGAGTGGGTTCATAATCTACTAACAAAACGTATTAAATAATATATATATTTAAAAACAACACTGAGGTTTAAAAAAAATCATCACTTAACAATTGTCTGTGATACAATTGCTGGTTATAGTTTTTTTTTTTACTTTAAGTAGGCTAATTACTTTATATAAAAATTTTGATAAAACTTTTCAAACTCTAAAAACATTTATTTGTAGGCCTATATAAACAAAAGCTTGATTTCTCTATTAACCGTTGAGTCATTCAAATCTACACACAAAGCCATTTGGAATGTAGTGAAAATAAGCATTCATATAACAAAAATAAACCTAAAACTTTCTTTAAAAATCTTTTAAAAAATGTAATGAAAAATCAAGCCCATAAAAGTTGTTAAAGAGGTTATACATCCATAAACTGTGTAAAGTTGAGATCCATAAACTTGAGAGGGAGTTTTTCTTTGCATAATGTATAAATAAGGCCATTATTTGCTTGTTTCAACCATGTTGTATTATTATGTTGGCAAGTTTGCCCATACACAGAAAGCTTTCACAGAGTTATTGCTTACCCGTGTATGCTTAATGTCTATCTGTTTTTCGTTCAGTGTTTCTGAGCTCAGTGTTTTAAGCCTGACAGGGGCACAAAGTGGGTTACAAAATGATCCACTGTGTCATTACTCCCCATGGAACAAGCCGAGAGGAAGAGAGGGATCGAGTGAGCCCAGAGGGGATGAGAGACCGTGAGAAAGAGTGCGGTCATAATCACAAATCTGTGTGAAACCCCTATGATATGTTAAAACATAGGAATATGTAATAAAATGAATAGTAAGAATTGAAACATTGATTTAAATCTTTACTGTACACTGTAAAAACGATTTTTTTTTTATGTAAATGTAAAAAAACATTATTGGAGTAGCTACAAGAAATTCTATTTCAGTCTTTCTACTTCGAATATACACAATTCATTCAATGTGTTACTTGCCACCTCTTCAATTTCCTGGCAATTTCTGCGTGAAAATTGTTTCTATACACCACACATTTTTCAATGTAGTCTTTAATGTAGTTATGAGATTCTTGTGTTGTTTTCTTGGTGGCATTTAATATAAATGACAGAGAGGCTCACAATATTACTGAGACTGCAGTTCTTTTATTGATTTATTTTAGAGAACCGCTTATTTAAAATAATATATTATAATAATATAATAATAAATAATTCAGACTAAAGAGATTCTTTGGAAAATTATTGTGTGGCATGATGTGGTTATTACATTTCTTTCCAAAGTTCCCTTTCTAGTGTTGTCATGAGTCATATCATGGCAATTTATTTGCTTGTTTCAACCATGTTGTATTATTATGTTGGCAAGTTTGCCCATACACAGAAAGCTTTCACAGAGTTATTGCTTACCCGTGTATGCTTAATGTCTATCTGTTTTTCGTTCAGTGTTTCTGAGCTCAGTGTTTTAAGCCTGACAAGGGCACAAAGTGGGTTACAAAATGATCCACTGTGTCATTACTCCCCATGGAACAAGCCGAGAGGAAGAGAGGGATCGAGTGAGCCCAGAGGAAGAGAAGGGATGAGAGACCGTGAGAAAGAGTGCGGTCATAATCACAAATCTGTGTGAAACCCCTATGATATGTTAAAACATAGGAATATGTAATAAAATGAATAGTAAGAATTGAAACATTGATTTAAATCTTTACTGTACACTGTAAAAACGACTCAAATCCAAAGAGATATTCTTTATAAAAGTTAAGAGTCAACCACGCCTAAAACGGCTCGTTCGAACACGCCCCCACATGTCTACCTCACTATGGGGAAGTCGTGGCCTAATGGTTAGAGAGTCGGACTCATAACCTAAAGGTTGTGGGTTCGAGTCTCGTACCGGCAGGGATTGTAGGTGGGGGGAGTGAATGTACAGCGCTCTCTCCCACCTTCAATACCACGCCCTTGAGCAAGGCACCGAACCCCGAACGCAGCAAGTGGGGCCACCCCGAGCAGTGGGGCTGCCCACTGCTCCTTGTAAAAGCTCCGGGTGTGTGTTCACGGTTTGTGTGTGTTCACTGCTGTGTGTGTGCACTTTGGATGGGTAAATGCAGAGCACTAATTCTGAGCATGGGTCACCATACTTGGCCACATGTCATGTCACGTCACTATGTGGGAAGATTTACATAAACATAAACAATTTAAATCCCCCCCAAAATGTGTTGGTATTGTGTTTGAGCTGTTTTGTGACAGCGAGTTTTGTAACTGTCTGACATTGAACTTTGCATTGAGTTGGCCTGATAACTAGATCACAGGTATAAACCTCACAGATTTCAATTCTGCAAATCATACATAATGCTTGTGAAATGAATTATGCATTAATCAAATGGAAAGTATTGCAAACGTCTATAGCAAATAATGTGCCATGAAATAATTGACAGTTGCAGCAGTTGTCCTGAAAGAAAGGGTAACATATGAATATGCTGATATATTGATTGTTAACCTGAATGTCATTGCAAGGGGGAATGGTTGATTCAGGCATACTAAACATACTGCAATTTATCAATTTATAATTATAATTTATCAAAATATCAATTTTCTTTCCTTCCGAAAATCATGACAGTTATCATTTATCTATGTTGTGAGCATGATTGATTTGGTCATGTTTGTTTTTTTCTTCCTGGAGGTTTTAAAGTGCCTTTGTATCAGACCATGAGTGCGCCAGCCATCAAAGATGCTAAATACGTTTTGGGAGAGAAAATGGATGAGGGCATCCCAGACTTTCCCAGTGGTCCACTAGATATCTACAGGAAGAAAGCATCCTTCAGCTGGAAGGAAATGTTGCAGTTTCTGGAGGGCGATGAAATCATTGCATTCAAGGTAAGATATGTATTACATAAAGTACATCTGCCCTAACAACCCTATGGATATAGTGTGCTTAGTCCATTTAGTTCATATAAGGAAAACTCTTAAAGGAGACATATTATGCCCCTTTTTTACAATATATAATATAAGTCTCTGGTGTCCCCAGAATGTGTCTGTGAAGTTTCAGTTCAAAATTCTCCACAGATCATTTATTATATCATTTTGAGTGGAAGCAGAAACACGCAGTTTTTCGGGCCTGTCTCTTTAAATGCAAATGAGCAGCTGCTCCCCGCCCCCTTTTCTAGAATAGAGCTGTGCCTTTACAGATCGGACCTGCTAAAAACATCTGTTTTGGTTTTGATTATCATGTTTATCGCGCTGAAATCATGCGGTTTAAATCATATTAGTTTAAACTTCTGGTATACTGTTTTCTGAGTGCACACGGACAGAAAGCGTCTGTCACAGCATGTGAGTACTAAACTAAGTTCTCATTCACACACAAGTTTACGTTAAAAACACACACGAGTAACAAAAACAGTCGGTTATGTCTGTGAAGGTAAACTGCTGGGAAATAAATCGCAGGTTTATTTTAGATCTGTGTGGCAGCAGCAATATACAGTAAATAAGTCAATAAATCCACTGCTCTCTTGTCTCCTCTGAGGCTGGGACTGTAAATAGTGTTCTGTGCTCGTCTGTGCAGCCAAAGGCAGAACAGTTAGCATGTTTTGCTCGAACTTTCACCATGGCATTAGAGCTGGTACACCGCTGTGCTTGCGAAAACACAATGACGGCGCTGTGGGTGTATTACATTTACAGATTAAAGGGCGGTAATATTATAATGAGATCCCTTTGCCACGTCACCAAGGGTGCGAAATCAGACGCGCTCATTTTCTCAGACGCTTAGAGAAAAAGGCTTACCAAAACAAAGTTACTGGGTTAATCTTTTTTACATTTTCTTGATTGGTAGATGCACCGTGGACCTGATTATAGCACTTAAAACCTGGAAAAGTCACCTTATATGTCACCTTTAAGACTGAGCTGAATTTCAGATGAATGATTCCTTCATTTGACCAGTCTGAGTGAAGTGGTGGGTGCTTTTAAAAGGCTGCTTCATGAAGCTTCGAAACATCTTTTGTTTCTAATCAGCAGTTCAGAGCTTGTTTCAAACTTGCCAGGTCATGTGATCTAAGCAAGCAAGGCTTTGTTATGCTATTCTATTTCAAACTTTAGATTCAAAGCATTTATAAATTCTGTTACAAATACTGTTGATCTGGTGAACTCATGAATAAATGTCTAATAGTTTTAACGGTTTTATAGTTTAGTTTAATTTTACTTAATTTAATGAACTTTTAATACTTATGCATGCATAATAAAATGACAATGATAAATAATTAGCCTATACATGCTTGGGCATTAGCTTGCATTGAATTTATATACAGTAATTTGTTTCACAATGCATTTGATTCAGATTTTCAAAAAGTTCAGTTTCTCCAATCACTAGTCCACAGTCATTGATATATAGATAACTTCTCAGCTGTCTTATGTTTCTCTCTCTGAGCAGCAGCATGTGTTCAGAACACTGGAGAGGGACCCGCTCTTTGCACGGCAGCCTGGTGAGGACATCCCAGTGGAGCAGAAGCGAGAGCTCACCTTCCGCCGCTGTAAACAGTTATTTAAGTATGACTTTGTAACACGTGATGACGTCATGCAGAACCCCTGGAAGATGACAATTCTCAATGACTGCCTGGGAATGTATGACTGGTCTTTGGGAGCCAAATACTTCCTTAACAAAGGGGTAAGCCCATTTCATATGCCCTCTACAGACCCCTAAATGTGGGAGTGTAATACACTAACCTTCCAAGAATAGCTTTTAATCCTTACAAATTATGAATTAAGAATGAACCCATTCTGGAATGGTCACACAGAAGTAATTGAAGTAATATTTTGCATTTTTGTTGATCATTCACAAAATTACCATGCAGTAGTGTTTATTATTTTTTGTGATGATTTTTTATTTAAAAACCTTTTATATTTTTGTTAGATGTTTGCAGCCACAGTGGCAAACACAGGATCTCAGAGACACTTGATGTTTGTGCAGGACATTGAGCAAATGATGGTAAATAATCTCTGTTTTATGGCATGCAACAAATATAAAAGCTGGTCAAGTTCAGTGTACTGAATAAACATGCACTAAATGCATTCATTGCAAATATGGTTGCTTAGCATTTTTTTTAGATGGCCACTAGTTTACACTACTACACACTACTCATTATTACATTATTTAACAAATTCTTCTAAAGCAATAATTAATCATATGTTAATTTCACCATGTAATAATGCATTTTCAAAATCTAAATTTGTATCTGTTAAGATTATTTAAAGGGGTCATATGATGCGATTTCAAGTTTTCTCTTTGGAGTGTTACAAGCTGATTGTGCATATATAAGATCCCTGAAGTTGCAAAGACTAAAGTTTCAAAACCAAAGAGATATTCTTTATCAAAGTTAAGACTCTGCCACGCCCCCCTAAAACGGCTCGTTCTAACACGCCCCCACATATCTACCTCACTATGTGGAAATATTAGCATAATGCCGCCCAAATGTGCACGCAAAGAAAGAAGGCGTGGTTTCAGTAACCGCAGTTAGTGTTGAAGCAGCGATGTCAGGGAGACGCTGTGTGTTTCTAGGCAAAAGCACTTTATTTGGCCTTCCGAAAGTAGATTGCATTAGTAGATGCACAACAGAACAGCAATGCATTTTATGGACGACCGTTTTGTGAACCTAGGAGAGGAGGTAATTCTGACTTTGCTATGACAATCTGGCGCTTCTGAATCAGCTACTGTTTTGTTATTATTTTAAGTATTTGGTATTGACTGTTCAAATGCGGAGTTTTGCGCATCTTGTGTGTGTGTGTGTGTGTGTGTGTGTGAGAGAGAGAGAGAGAGAGAG